ATGTGTTCTGCCCTATATTTCCTCATGGGGTTTTTGCAGTTTCGGAGAACAAAGCCTTGTGCCACCCCTCCTCTGTGGATTCTCTGTCCACCAGTGCTGCTACGGAGGACCACGTGTCCATGGGAGGATGGTCTGCGAGAAAAGCACTGAGAGTCATTGAGCATGTGGAACAAGGTAACGTTAAAATGCTGATTTCCAGATAGACCTTGTGCACATAACCAGATCAAGATATTAGTGCCATTCTATTCAGATGTTGTTCAGGGAAAAAAAAGAAAAAAGAAAAAAGAAAAAAGAAAAAAGAAAAAAAAAAAAAAAGGCTTAATTCATTAGAAGTAACTTTTAAAATGTTTTATTAAGTATATACTTTCACAAACAGTTGGATCTTTATACAGAGATGAGGTAAACCAGGGCTGTGTTTCTTATGAAAGAAAACTGCTAATAGAGGCTTCTCAGCAAAACTTTCCTCCCTTGGTTGGAACAACAGCTTGCTCTCTTGCTTTTTTGTTCTTTTATTTATTCATTTGGCAGAGGATGTGCTTGGATAGAGTTGTAACTCTTAGTGGAAGTACACAGTAATACACAGCACACAAACACTGCACTCATTTGCCCATACGTGTGAGTGCTCTGGGCTGTGCAGATCACAGCAGCTACACCAAACACCACGGAGAGACTGGTGAAGGAAGCCTCGCCTCGAGCTGTGCCTGCTGAATGTCTCTCCCGCTGCTGTGATTTCTAGTTCTGGCCATAGAGCTGCTCGCCGCCTGCCAGGGCATTGAATTCTTACGCCCCCTGAAGACGACCACCCCATTGGAGAAGGTCTACGACCTCGTGCGCTCGGTGGTGAGGTAAGATCAGATAAATGCCTCAGGTGGGGGTCACCCACTGTTTCAGAGGTCCGCTGCTGGTGGTTAATGTTTGGCCAACTCATTGCAGGCCTTGGATGAAGGACCGTTTCATGGCCCCGGACATCGAAGCCGCTCAGAGGCTGCTGGTGGAGCAGAAGGCGAGTGCTGGCTTCTGGCAGGTCGGTGTGGCCTGGCCATAGGGGCAGCTGCAGCTCCGCTCAGGACGTGCCCCTCACTACGCTCACTGCTGGAGCCAGAGGCAGTGCTCCTGTGCCAGGGAAGGGGGGACTCTCTCTGGGCGCTGATCCCCATTCAAAGGGTCTGCATGAGCTCCCCAGCCGGGAGGCTCCTGGGCATGGTAAGGGGACAGGGGTGAGGGAACAGCAGCAGCCAAAGGTGCTAACCCAGGCCAAGTGTTTGCACAGCTGTGGGACTGTAGAATCTCTCTTATTTGTTTGTAAAACGTAACAAAACAATTCTGGAGACTAACCAAATGGAAGAAGATCCCAGTCTCTCCACTGTAAAGCTTTTGATCTGCAGCTGTCTTGCTGTCCTTAAAGACGAGAAAAAGGAAACTGTAGAACTCTCTCCTTTTCTGCCTTGAACAGCAGTCACCACCCCTTCCCTTTCACTTTGGCCATGTCAGCTGCCATTTGTTTCCTTGGCCCTCTCATGACCCAGTGATGTGGTAACAAATAGCAGTGATCCTCTCCCAGGTGTTATGCGCTGAGCGTTAACCTGGCCACAAGACATGATGCGACTTTTTCATCTCACATCCTTTCACCTTGTCCTCCCAGAGCTGTATCTTTCTCTATCCCCTCTCAACTCCATCCTCATGCTCTTCTCCAACCCTCACTCTGGCTGCACTGCTGTTTCTGCTGATCACCTACCTACCACCAATCCATGCAGGTCGGTAATTCTCACCTACATCCCACTAACTTTCCCACAGGTTTTCCTGAAGTTGTGTGCTGATATCTGACCAAGTATGAATTTTATTTATTTATTTATTTGCTTCTCACTCCCCTGTTTCACTCTCTGATTTCACAGGTGTGGGAGGTAGCTGAACCTTACATTGAAAAATATAGGAGAGAACACATCCCTGAATCCAGACCTGGTTCACCAACAGCCTTCTCCCTGGGATCGCTGGAAAGGAAAGCGCACAATGGCCACAACCACAGGCATCACAACGAACTCTAACAATTGCTCTCCTCAGATAAGAGCAGACCCAGGGCCTGGCCTGAGTGTGGCTGTTTCACCAAAATTCAATGTGGTTTCTTCAGATGGCCCAAAGGAACTGTTTGTCTCACTCGGGAGCACATAGCAGCAGTAAAGAAACGGCTGCCCTGTTCTTTCCCATGGGATAGACAGCTTGGTCATTATAGTATGGATCTCGTTAAACACCCTGAGCTTTCAAACACAAAACCTTCAGAGTCCTGCTGAAATCAGTGGATATTTTACTCAGTGCCTTCTGTATTTTTGTCAGCTCTTCGCTTGTATTCTCTGTATCTCTGCCAATGATACTGAACAGCTGAGACTTGTTATTCTCACTTCTTTTTCTTTCTTTTTTTTTCCTTTGGAAAACTGCTGCAGTACTCTCCATTCTGCCATGAGCAAAATTATCTCAGCGCTTAACCCTTTTCCCCTTTGTCCCTCCAGCACTGTGCACATCTTATGTAAAGCATACAGATTCTTGTATAACAAGCATTTTGGAGACAGGTGGTTCACAAATCAAAAGAGTTCTGTGCTGTGGTGATTACTGCTCCAGAACAAAAACATTGCATTTTGATGACGGACTACACTTCATGCTTTCCAAGCATTCCAAGACCTACAGTCTCACACCTGCAATAGATGCAGGAAGGTTCCACATACGGCTACAGCAATGTGTTTTCCTGTCATGATGAAAGGTGTTAAAAGCAAAGGCTTAGCTTAGAAATAAGCAGCCCAGTTGACAAAGAGACCTGCAAAAAGTACTGATGGTTTCTGGGAGAGCAGGAGGAGGAGTTGTGGGAGCAGTGAATGTGAACCAGCACTGGAGACCTGCACTTCCACTCCTTATTGGGCATCCAGTTGGCTGCTGGCTGCCCTGTTCCACTTTGAAACTTGTGTTGTAATGTGGTCTGTGTTACAGCATCGACCTCTGGCACAGGCTTTGTGTGTTTTGCAAGGAAAGAGTCAGGACTTAGGCTTCCCATCATAGCACAGTGACGACATTTAAGGGTCAGTTAAAAACCAGTGACCTCGGCAATACTGGCCTGAAGATCCCAGCCACAGGGGGTCCAATGTGGGCTGGAATCCTTCCAGGTCATCAGTTATGCTGCAAGGGGAAGCCGAATTACTGGTATGGGTCCACCCATATGTGTCTTTGGGGTCTGCAGTGGGAAGCATGCCCTGAGAATGGGACACACGCCCACTGGCAAGCCAGCAGGGAGACTTTGAACCTGGCCAGGAGAAAGCACAAATTGTGCAGGGTTGCAAGGTCCTGTCCTGCCCTACTGAGAGGTAGGTGACTTTTGGCCTGTCATTCCAAGTTACAAACATGAGTGTGGTGATCGGTCTACAGCTCAGCAATAAGCAGACCTGGGAATGAGGACAACACTATGGTGTGCGAGGTCCCTCCTCTGGCCTCTGTCTCTCCCCCATGTGCCAAATCTGTCTCCACCCTTCCAGCTACAGACTCTGCAACAAGCTTATCTCAAACTCCTGTTGAAGCTCTTCCATCTCACAGCCAGCCAGCTGTTAAATAAAACCAGCTGTGATGATGACCCCCTACAGTACACAAGTCTGGTTGTTATACAACAATCTGGTTGTTATAACATTTGCCTTCAGCCTCAAGATATGGCTGAATAACAGTTTCTCCAACACCAAAACCAGTGGCCCTACACAGTTCCCCAGTGGTTACTGCTATAACCTCAGATGTGGGAAATAGCACCCAAGCAGCATGAATACAAGGAAAACCAAATGTGAACAAAGACGTGGCTTACATTTTGTATGTTAATAACCCCATGGCTCAGGGAGATCAGAAGGGTGTGATAAAGCTCCTACCAGAACAAGACTACAGTCCCTCATTGAGGGTCTGCTTCACTAATAGCTCTGCCCACAGTCTAGGTCAGATGCTATTGTTGACAGCACATTTTTTGATGCAAAGCTCTTCATACTTATCAAGTATAGTTTAATGACTTTTTTTCTTAAGAAAGGTAAGTGCTTTTATTTCTATAGCCATCTTCCACTTGAAAAGCTGAAGAAGAGCTTCAGCCAGTGTGCACAGAGACCCTCCCTATCCAAGATTCTCTGCTTAGAACAATGTAAAGGTTAAACTCCAAAGCTGTGTTATCTTCTTTCTACATACCACCTCCCTAGAGGATGGTACAAGCTCACAAAAAGTGTAATAATTGAGAGAGGGGAGAGAGAGGGAGAGGAGAGAGCTTTGAAGAAAAAAAAAAAAAACAAGCTCTGAAGTTCCTAATTGGTCTTAGTGAGAGTTATTATACTTAACTGGTCATCACAAGCCAATACAGACTAATGAGTCTCATGTCACTTCAGATTCAGCCTAAAATAAATGAGCTCAGGTGGTGGTTTGTTGGAGCATCTATATGAGACTGCAGGTCATCTTTTAGATTTCAGTGTGGCTGGTATTTTCAGAGCCTGGCTGTACTCATCAGACCATAACCTCAATGCACTAACTGCCTATAGGAGTAATCTCTAAGGTTTAGTGGATCTTATTTCATTCCCTCTCCTACACTGCACTCAAACTTTCAGCAATGCAGTGAGTGCTGTACATTGCATTTTCCCTTCCTGTTTCTAATGCCTGCTATGAGATCCTAAATGTGGCAGGATGCTCCAGTTCAGCTGCTAAGAGATACCTTGTTGGACCCCACTGATTTTCTGCAGAAGTCTGCAGAAACCAAGAGACTTGACTTCTCAGAAAGGTAAGACACTGTGCTTCCTACCAGGTCAGTGGTTCCTGATTTCTGCTCAGTTCAACACTCAGCAGACCTGGGAGCTATGAAAGTTTCTTCAAGGTGGTGTGGTCTCCCAGTACTGCCAAAGCCATTCCAAACATGCATGCCTGAGACCCCGGCCCTCGGCTACAGGTTACATAACATCGCACTTCCATGTCTTACCTGGACCCAAACTTCTTTCTTCATTCAGAAGTCATTGGTTTTGTGGTTTTATTTATTTATCTCAAATTTTACAGATTGAAATATTCAGGAAACTGTCTTAATTCAAATAGATCTCATTGATGATTTGGGGTTTTTTTTTGCTTGATAAAGTTCATTTGAATAAAATGGGTGGTAAGATAAGTAGTGAAACAATTTACTAGTAAATACAAATCTGATTTGTCTGTCGCTTTGAAATAATCCATGTAAATGATTGTCTTCTTTCAGTAACTGCTCATCATATCACAGCTGTCATTTTTATAGACAACTTTTCCTTTAATTATAACATAGTCGATCAATGTTTGATGTCCCCCAAACTGGTATATCAAGTGCTCCCACCTAAAAAGACAACGAGATGTTTAAGAATATCCATACTTGCACAAAAGCATGTCACACACCTAGTATTTCTGTCAGTTATAACAATTTGATTTAACCATGGGAAAGCTCTATGCCATGTTGATGACAATTCAGAATTCCATGTTTACATGTTGATCACTTGTTGCATGAATACAATAAGTCATGTACAAGTAGAGTACAGTAGAGCAGAATTCCTTCCACAAATAAACAAGTGTTATCTTCAAATAATTTGTAATTAGGCATATGTTACTTGTAATATTAACCCTAAAAGTCTTAGGCCTTATCCTCCACTGGAATTAAAGGAAATGAAAGTGGATATAAAATGTTATCAGTGTCCCCTTTTATAGATGAAAGTAACTTCTGAAGCCCAAGGAATACATTAACTATCCACTCTCCATGACACAGTGAAAACCTAAGTCCCTTATGTTAAATCACATTACAAACAACAATAGAAAACATACCTTGATGAATTTATAATAACAAGATCCCCCTGCTTGCCAATCTCTATGGAACCATGTGTGTCTGATTTTCCCAGAGCGTAAGCTGCATTAATGGTGGCAGCTGCTAGGGCTTCATTCATTGACATCTTCATGTTTACACAAGCCAGATGCATCACCATAGGCTAATGGGAAAATTAAGAAGAAAATGGGAGTTACCAATATGCAAATAAAACTGTTTATGTCTCAAATCCCAAAGCACTGTCCTCCCACCTCAAGCAACAAATGGAGTTGTGCTGCACAATGTGCATCTTGCCAATTCCAACATGAGAAATGTGAAATCGGGAACTTGCAAGCTTGTTTTCTAAGACTCTTTGCATTTGAAAAATCAAACCCCTTCAAATTTCAAGAACTTCTGGCAAATAGTACCACCCCACATAAACAGGCAGGACCAAAAGTCTAAGCTGGGCATGCAGCTCTCTTTGTGGACACGAAGAATGTTTTAGGCATGTAAGATCTATACACAAGCTGTACTAGCAGAAAATTGTGTTATTTCATGCTCTTGTAAGTATTAGGGATCACTTACCATTGAAAAACAGTATGCGTTAGGATTAAAATCACTGCCAAGAGCAACAATAACTCCTTCATCTAACATTTTTCTGGCTTGAGGTTGCTTCAGTCTAGTGGGAAAAACACGCTTGTCAGTACCATTCACTTAGTTATTACATGATGAATTACAAAAGTGAAAGTCATCACTCAGTTTGGCTAAATTAATGCATTCAGTTACATCAATCCATTTGGAAACAAGAGGCCAAATTCTCCTCTTGGCTACAAATCATCCTATGGATAACACAAATGAAACTGTGGTCCACTGTTTCTGCAGTAACAGCACGTGACAAAAGACACTGTCAAGCACCACGCTGCAGGCCAATGAAATGCTGTTTATCCAGGCCTCAGCCACTTCAGGATTTACATGGTGAAAATCTTCATTTCTCAAAGAAGTAATTTTCTGATCTGTATAGCTTTGAAGACAGGCTTGCCAACACGAGCAGTGGTATAACCAGTGCAATAGTCTGTCTCATCCCAGTTCTGCTGGTAATTCAGAACTGGAACTTGAGGCTGTGAATTTCATTTGTATATGTTGGATTTCTCTCACTTAGCAATGCTAATGCAAACAATTGCTATGGTGAGCTGCTTCATAAAAGCCATTCTCCCATTGATATCTATATACATATCTCACTGGGGTGGTGTAACTTCAAGGTAGCACAGCAATTCAGCTTCATCAATCTGACCTCCAAATATTCACTTACATTATGAATGTCACCTGGCAGTTAGAAAGTACCTTGACCAACTGAGTAACCACTACCCAATGTTGCCTCATTTTTAAGGATGTGTACCAGAAGTAAGAAATGAAGAGGTTTGTTCGGCTCTTTGTGATGGTCTTCACTGATCCATCCTGCTCATCAATGGATAGATACAAGCTTACACTTGGTATTACCAGAGGCCAGAACCAGGACTGTGGGGTTTTTTGATTCCTCCAATCTAGTGGCCTTACCTTAGCATGTAGGCAGTGGTTGGCAGAAGGACAGCTGCACACTTAGCTTTTGCCATTGCTGCAATTCCTTCATCACTAACTTCTTCTAGGTGGCTGATAGCTTGGGCTCCTAGCTCAGCTCCAAGCTGAGAGAATAGTCAACATTACTCACTGTTAAGAGTTAATTCAGTTGTCATCAAGCAACTGGAATAGACAATTCATTATTAATGTGAAATTTACTAATAGAAAGATCATAAAGAATGCCTGAAAGAACCAATGAAATGCAGACAAGATACTTTCTAATTTGCTGCATGAAAAGCTAATCACAGCTCATTAAGATATTAAGTACAGACTGGCAGTACGCCTTCAGTGGCATTTCTAACAGATGAACTTGCAAACTATGGGACTGCTATGAATAAAATCATTACTAACTCCTGCCCACAAAGTAAGCAGAAGAAATAGAGTGATAGGTCTGACACTGGCTGCTGAACAAATAATGTGTCTGCTTCTTTCTGTAGGGAAGCAGCAAAAAGGCTTTATATAATGAAAAAAAAAGATTTTAAAATCTTTTTTTAAAAAAGACAAGAATATTTATCCCACAGCAAAGAAGAATTCTTTAAATGATGGCAAAACATTGAATCAGACAGACTGTCTTTAAAAAATAACCTTGATCCTACACTAGACTAAACCCGTGCTCTCAGTGTGCTTACTGTACAACTTGCTAGGGCTAGACATACTCTAAAAGAAAAAGCATTTTCCAAGTAGTACATAAACTGTGCTTTTGTCATCTTTGTGTTCATATATATCCACTGGTTTCCCCATCCATATCGCATGTGGAAGATGAGCAAAGTCAATATTTGATTAGGCAGTGCATGTTAGTCACAGAAGTCAATATTTCTCTCCACGTCCTTAACTCCAAAATTGCACAACGGCTGCACTTTCCTACTACCTATGAATGATGGACTTTGCAAAATCTTAGGAAAAAAACTGGCTGTGAAAATTGAAATTAACTCACAGATTCAAGTATCAGAAAAGCAAAGCAAAACCAAAAAGTGGCTTCACTGTATGTTAAGACAGAAGTACCTCTGCAGATTTCATCGGATGGAGTTCATCACCATGGAAGTTAATCTGTAAACCTGTATCTTTTCCAGCTTGAAGAATTCTCCTGGTAGAATCCAGATCAAACACTCCCTTCTCACAGAACACATCTATATTGTTAACATGTATTTCACCACTTTGTTGGAGTTCTTTCAGTTTAGGGAGCTGGTTATTAATAATGTCATCTGTGGCCTCAGTAGCAGTTTTCCCTCTAAGGGAAAGAAAATGTTACAGAGCCTTAAAAAAAACAACTTTGAAGCTTGGCAGACATTCAAACCATAAATGCAACTGCTAAATTATTTAGAAAATAATGCAAATACAAATCATTCAACCTTCAAATTAAAAAATAAAAGCACTGTAACTTACGTAGATCCAAACATGACTTACTTTCCATTTAAAGAATATTAAGATAATATTACAATTTGTTTTTATAAGGCTGATTTCTTTGGATGCTAAACAAGACACGGGACATTTACGAACCAAAATTTCAGCTTTCCTATCCATATAGTCTGATCTACTTATATTGTATCCTAACATATAACTATTTAAAATATGTAAATAATTATTTAAATTTTAAAATGATATTCATGCAGTATTTTTATGCAAATATCAAAGCTCAAAGGGTATGTGTAGCACAAATCATTATCTCCTCCTCTGATGATATCATTCAGAGTAATGACTAGGTAACCATTTCTAAATCAGACAGAGCTCCTGAGATTAGATCTGCCAATGTCAGAATCATTTATGAACCCTCAATTACACAAAGATAACCCAGGAGAGTAAATGCCTCTGAAAGAATTAACAACCCCAAAATTAAAGTTAGTATTCTGCAATTTTAAGATCTAAAGATAAGTGACATACTGCAGCTAAATATCGGTGACATCTCTATCCTCATTTCAGGCACTGTAAAATCATGACGAGCTTCTATGTGGGTGAGCTTTCAGTTTTACAGTGGCAGTAAATTCAAGAACTCACATTCTATTCTGATTTATGAACACAGTTGCACAGTCACAAAGCACAGTAAAACCTGGCACACTGCCCTTCCTTTGTTCACCTCTTACTGAAACAGTCTGGGTTGCTTGAGCTCACGTCAAGCCTTCTCCCTCTTTTAATTTAGGCTCAGCAGTCTTTGGAGTAATTTGAATGTAAAGATTGGAACCAGAGCCAAGACAAAACAGAGGGAAATATTAAGTCTTGATCTCACATTCTGGGGAACAAACTCATAATCTTATTTGCACCTGAATCCTTAAAAAGAGCACTTTCCAGCCCCAAATCCATGGGGAACATACTCCCTTGAGATCCTGCAGTGTTACTAAGGCTGAAGGAAATAAAGATCTGAAAAAGTGAGCTCACCAATTCACGATGCTTCCCTCAGTATGTAACTCTCCCAAACATTCATGAGCCAGCAGAGGGCCTGTGCTCTGAACACTCAGGTCTCAGATTAGGGAAGAGCTGCAAAATTCCTCCTGGTCAGAATAAACGCCTGAGGCAGAATCTAAGTTTGATGGGTCATAGAAAATCCAAGTAAAATATTCTGGACATGACCACATGAATGAAAAAAAGGGGATTTAAGAAGACCCAAACTGGGTAACACAGATGTATAGCTTTGAATATACTCTGTTATATTTTAGGAGGGTTAGTCAGAAGTTGTTTTTCTCAAAATAACAGCCAAATTTCAATGCAAAACAGTAACAAAAATAGCAAGAAAAAATAAGTTATATTACTTTGGCACAGAATGAGCTCCACAGTAAGTTGAAGAAATGCCAATATCCATGGACTGCCTAGCACGTTCAATCACTCTCAGCATTTTGAGTTCTGTTTCTAAGTTCAAGCCATATCCGCTCTTGCACTCAACCAAAGTAGATCCTGCTCTGCACATGCGTTCAAGTCGGTGTTTGAAAGTAGTGAACAGCTCTTCTGTGGCCTTCCGGGTGTGTTCCACGGTGAAATGTATTCCTCCTCCAGCCTGGTGGATTTCCATATAGGAAGCACCTGCAAGCTTGGGGAAAAAAAGGGGAACAAAAACACCCACCACACACATAAAATTAGCCATTAAATGTGAATTTTCTATCCCAGAGATTCTGGAAAGTGCCCTGAGGTCTCTTTGCAGCGATAGACAGAAAGAGGAAAAACAAATCCCCATTAATTCACCCTCCCTCCTCTTCTATCTGTCCCCTCCACCTGAGCAAAGAAATGATGTAAAAAGCTGCATTAAAAATTCCTTTGAAGATTTATTTCCCTCTGAACCTAAGGGGAAAACCTACTTCTTAAAGACTCTTCTACGTGGAAAAACAAGAAGGAAAAAAAAGACTTTAAGATGAAAATGGTAACAGAAACTGACACTCCTGGCACAAGGAGTGCCAGGAGTCAAGGCACAAAGACTCAGGCTGGCTGCAAAAGCTACATTCACAGTGCTCTCACAGCCTACAGTCCTCAGACATCACTCCTCCTCCCTTTATTAGATTGCCTGACAGAAATTATACCATTTTCTACAGAAGAAATGTCACCGGAAAGAAGAAAGGGTCATGCATTCAGTTTTTAAAAAAGGGGGGGGGGGGGGGGGTGGAAGTAGGGGGGGGGAGGGAAGGTAAACCCCAGCTCTGTGATTGCACGCTATTACCTTCATTGCAAACTCATGCACCCTATCACCAGCCCACACAGGATGTGTATGCGCATCCACCAGGCCTAAAGGAAACACAGCATACATACACTCCTGTTATTTAGCTGTGTGACGGAGCTGTGGGAGCACGCAAACAAGTTAAACAAAGCAGAAGCTCCCTACAAAGCCCCTCAGGCTTGCAGACCTCCTGTATGACAACAGTAAGGCATAACACACCCACCTGGCAATATGCACTTCCCAGTGCAGTCAATTTGACTTTCAAACGTTGCTCCTGCAAAGCGGCGGCGGATAGCATCTGCCGGGCCCACGGCTTTTATATAACCATCTCTGCAAACAGGAGGCAACACACAAAGGCCTGAGCATGATATCGAATTAAGCTTCGAGACGCTGGCAGAGCACCTGAGGCACGAGCTCTCCAACCCAGGGCAGGGTCTGTAGAATATCACCGATGCACCTCTAAGCCCAGACCTAAGCCCCAGCGCCGACCCAGGGACGCTCTGCTTCCTCCCGGCCCTCCTCCCAGCACTCACAGCCCCACTACCAGGCTGGCATCGTGCAGCACGTCCAGCCTCGCCATGCCCTCCCGCAGCAAGTACTGCTCGCCGTGGCCGCACACCAGCACCAGTTGCCGGGCATTTGCCAGCAGCAGCCGGTACTCGCCCGCCATAGCCGCAGACAGCACGATGCCCCCGCTGGCACAAATGGTGGTCGGAGAGGAGGGCAGCCTGCCGCTCAGCTCAAAGTCCCCCGGGGCGGGGCGTAAACCCTCCTGTCCAGCCGGGGCTGCCCTGGAGGTGGGCAGCAAAACCCCACAACGGAATGGAGAATTTCCGAATGGTGCGCTTAGCACGGCCGCGTCCCAGCCCCACGGGAACGTAATGCCTCGCGGTGCTCCAGGCACCCAGGCGGCGTTCCTTTACCGGGGCAGACACTGGTTGTCCAAATCAGTGATCAAAAGGTCGCTTAGAGTCTGCTGCCCCCTGCAGAGTTAGGGATGGGAAAACTAGGGAGCAAATACGGATGTTCAGTTTTCTTCTAGACACTCCATAGCGTCCAGCGCAGGGCTACGAAGGTGCCGAATGGCACGGAGGACAAAGCGCATGAAAGCGGCTGAGCTTCCCTAGTTAGCTCAGAGCAGAGCAGAGGAGCTGAGAGGAGGCCTGATGGCGGCTGCAACTCCTCACAGAGAGCGGAGGGGCAGCGCTGAGCCGCGCTCTGCGTGACAGCGACAGGGCCCGAGGGAACGGCACGGAGCTGTGCAGGGGAGGGCCGGGTAGAATGGGAATGGTTCTTCAGCAGGAGGCGGTGGGCGCAGAACAGAACGCCCAGGGCAGTGCGCGGCTCCAAGCTGCCGGAGTTCAAGGAGCATTTGGACAACATTCTCAGACTGAGTGTGTGATCTGTGGGTGGTCCTGTGTGGAGCCAGGAGTTGGACTTGATGATCCTCGTGGGTCCCTTTTAACTCAGGTGATTCTGTGGTTCTATAATTCTCTCTTCAGACACAGTGAGCAATAGGGCTCCAGTAATCCCCCGTCGGCAAGTGGAATTTATTTCTAACCAGGTGGTCCCTCAATTGCCTTTGTGGCAGTAGTCTTTAGATATCCTCTTTTCATTTAGAAAAGGGATCAACGTATAACACTTGCAACACTGAAGTGCATACACATACTCCCATATAGCAGAAACAGATGGGTATGTTGGCTCAAGTGCTGAACCACAAAGCAATGTGTGTTCCTTCAGAGCATTCTCCCTCACCAGGCGTGCGAAAAATGAACAACAGAGGTGGAAGATAGTGCTGTACTGCTTTCAGGAGTTCCCGCTGCTTATTTTGGCTTTCCCCAGCAGTATCACCATATGTATGAAAACAGAAATTAAAGAACAGCAACAGCACAAGCCGACATGTCAAGCATGCAGCACAGCACACTGTGGTGAAGCTCAGCACAGCAGTTCAGTCCTGCCCAGCATACATTAGATCTTCCCAGTTATTCTGAAAAGCCAACACTATCACGCAGATGTTATCACAATGATGGCACCGCTTGCTGATGAAGTGCTAAGATCATACTTCACCCAGCTCATCCCAGCCCCACATACTCTACGAGCAGAGGAGCAGCCCTCAGTAAGAGAAGCAGCTGGCTGCTGAGTTCCAACCTCCCCTAATACACTGCTGACATTATCAATGGCAACATGGGAAAGGCCTCATTCTGCATCGTATGTGTCAAACTGTGCATACTGTATCATAAACCAGATATTGTTTTGCCTCTCATTCCTGCTACTGAAAATATTTAGGAACACATTTGCTCTACATGTTTTGAGGTGTCCTAAGCCTAGCTCCAATTTAAAAGCACTGATCTATTCTGCTAGTACTGGCTTTAGCTTAATCAGCTCTTTTCCTAATGGGAACATGAGATTTCTTCAACAGAATTGGGCCTTTTTCACTTCAAAACCTTGAGAAGGGCGTTAAGTATCATTTCCACTTCTCAGTAAACTGAAGCTCAGTTGCAGTGGCTTGCCCACAGTTCACTGAACCGCACTGATACAGGAGCAGGTTTCATGTTCTGTGCCAGGGAGTTTTACCTCCACAGCTGGGTCACTGCCTGCTTTTGCTCTATTTTCTCCATCTGCAAAATGGAAAATATACATCTGTATTTGACAACAGATGTATATGACAAGCAGTCATTGACGAGAAGGGACAAAGTTACACACAAATCCATGCCGTATAGCCATTTGTGTTCTGGCTTGCAGAATGCCTCTCCAACCTACAGCTGCAGGTAGATTCCTCACATGGGGAGGCTCTGACTAGCAGCATTAGCAAAGCAATGGTTGTCATCAGGAAATGCTGATAGGCAAGGAACAGCTTCTGTTAATGTCAATGATTGCTCTTAACATTTGAGAAAGTTACTGCATTCCTGCCAAAACTTTATAGTGTTCTGGATGCCTGATAACTAAGAGTGGTTTGTTGTTACTTTTGGTGTTGGTTTTTTTTTCATAATAAAGCAGACTGAGATCAGGCATTCCCAATTCACAGGGTGTTTTAACTCTATGAGTGCCACTGAAATTCATGAATCTTTCTAGCTGCTGAGAGTCTTTGTGTATGGATATTAGTCATGAAGACTACACAAGATTCTCCTGCCTTTGATTCTATTCCTGCAGCACCCTCAGTCTATTCCTGGACTCTTCTGTTGTCATTGTAGCTGTGAGTTACATGCTAAAGACACAAAGTTCTTTAATCTTCTACTGTAGGCGAGTCTTCCACAGCACAGCCATGCAACAGCAGAGTTCTGACACTGATCCACACTGAGGTGATATGAGAGTGAGCCATCTATTTTGTATTAGAGAACACACCTTAAAAGATTTAATTCATTCTGGGAACCTTTTAAATTCAAGTGCTTCCCTTGAAAGAAATTGCCTAATAATTACAAGTTTTAGTTGTGTGGTGTTTTTGTTTTTTTTTTTTGTTTCATACTTTGTTTTCACTCAAAGACTTCCAGTTTAAAGTTGACAGCATTACCTATTCTTCCAGCATTTTTTTTCTGGACATCAATAGGACATCATAGAATCATAGAATCACCAAGGTTGGAAAAGACCTAAAAGATCACCCAGTCCAACCGTTCACCTATTCCCAATAGCTCCCACTAAACCATGTCCCTCAACACAACATCCAGTCTTTCCTTGAACACCCCCAGGCTCAGTGACTCCACCACCTCCCTGGGCAGTCCATTCCAGTGCCTGACCACCCTTTCTGAAAAGTAATACTTCCTAATGTCCAGCCTGAATCTCCCCTGCCATTGAAGCCATTCCGTCTGGTCCTATCACTAATGACACGAGAGAAGAGGCCGACCCCTAGCTCACTACAACCTCCCTTCAGGCAGTTATAGAGAGCAATGAGGTCTCCCCTGAGCCTCCTCTTCTCCAGGCTGAACATTCCCAGCTCCTTCAGCCTCTCCTCATATGGCCTGTGTTCCAGACCCCTCACCAGCTTTGTTGCCCTCCTTTGAACACGTTCCAGGGCCTCAATGTCTTTCTTGCAGTGAAGGGCCCAAAACTGGACACAGTACTCGAGGTGCGGCCTCACCAGTGCTGAATATAGGGGAAATGGCCCTAAGGCCATTTAAGGTCTCACCACAGACCTTTTTAAAAGTGAACTTCCCCCATAGTAAAATACAAGAACAACAAAAATAACACCTGATTACAAAGTTGTGGAAAAGAAAAAAAAAGAAAAAACTTTATTTCCAGACATACAAAACATCATTCTCTCATTTCTCCATCTTCTTCCTCTTCTTCCACACCTCTGATGTACAAAACATTATTGCACCTGTAAATAGAATCAAGAGTTCCCTTAGTTGAAATGCCTTCGTTTCCCTCATAAATACACTGCTTTAAGCATTTTCCTACTTGACTGCAACCTGGCAACACTCAAGACCTGTGCAAAAAATGGCCACTGTTGACATTGTTCAGCTTTTCCATAAAGATTCACTGCAAATACAAGACAAGTTTATGAAAGCAGTAGGCAGTTAACAGTGATGTACAAGAAAGTTTTTCATGTGGATTAACAGCCATGGTCGAGCATTATTTCCACGCACACAATGTTTTCAGCAGCTGCAACAATAACTCATGCATCCTAATACATTCTACTACTGCCAAGAGGATTTACAGACCTGCAATAAGCTGGAGAACTAAGGTGTTTAGTTACTTGAGAAAGGGATCATAAATACTTCTTTAAATACTTTTTCTTTCTGAAACTATCTATTTCTCTCCTCAGAAGGGATCCCAGCTTAAAGGTTACAGCCCGTAGCCTTCACACAAGAGTTACAGTGACGTTTAGCACTCCAGTACAGACAAGAAGCACAGCTCCTAGATACACAAGCTTTAACAGAAGCAGTAACACAAGACTTAGAAGACCCCGCTCCCCTGCTCAGGCACCACGTTTACCTTATCAAAACTTCCCCCAGGTGTCCAGACAGCGCACCATCGATATACTCTTCTGTGTTCGCAAGCTTGGAACGAAAACCAGCACAAAGATTACATCAACGGGAGCCTCACGGCCACTTTGACTCGCAGCAATTCCGGCCACAAGGACCTGAGGGCAGCCCAGAAGCGCCCTGCTTTTCCCCCACCAGCAAGCAGCGCCCAGGGCCCAGGTCCCAGGTCCCAGGTCCCTCCCTCTCTTCTCTCTCGCCGTGCCTCACCTGCATGTTCATGTAGCCGTCAACGGAGACGAGGTAGCCCTTGTACTCCATCCCCCACTTCAGCTTCACCATCACCGGTTTCCCCGTCAGCCCGTTGAGGAAGGGCTTTGGGTTGAGGGGCAGGCTCTGCGGGGAGAGCGCGGGTCAGCACCGCCCGCCCCTCCCAACCGTTAGCAACGGCCACCGCCCCCGCACCGCCCCCTGCCCGCCCCGCGCCGAGCCGCGCCGCGCGAGCGCCACCCTCACCATGGCGACGGGGCGCGCGGCGGCGGCCCGAGAAACGCAGGCCCACGCGGGAACACCTCGTGCGCGCCGCGGGCTGCGAGAGAATGGAAGGCAGCGCAGCGCCGGCTTCCACTTCCGGGGCGCCGCGCCGATCTCTGACCTCTCGCCCCGCTGCGCCGCCTTTGCGATTGGCTACGTCGCCACGGCGCGCGAAGGGAAAAGCGAGGCCGTCCATTGGTTCGGCGGGGCTGTGAGCTCGCTCTCATTGGTTGGGCTGGATTCCCCACCCCGTTCTTCTACAGCCAATAGCCGTGCTG